GGGCAACTGGAGAAGGCAAATGATTTCTTAAGCAAAATGGAGAAGAATGGTTGTCCTCCTGATGTTATGACGTTTAATACACTCATTTTATGTTGCTCCAAAAACAGCAAGACCTCCAAAGTTGTGGAACTTCTTTGCATAATGGCAGAGAAAAATCTATCCCCTAATGCAACAACCTTTTCCATTGCATAAGTCTGCTCTCAAACTTAAAGGATGAAAAGCGTCAAGAACTTCTGGACTTGCTTCCAACATTTCCTGCCCAAGATCATTGAGGTAGATGACAAACTGAATAAGTAACTGCATTGAAGTTTGGACGCACAAAATCAGTCATTGAGATCATGAAGAATTTTGGCAGAGGTTACTTTGTCTGGTATTCCCAGTATAAACCAAATGTAGTTATTTCTTTGGCAGAAAATAAGAGCATGGTCTGATTTTTGTATAAGGCTATGATGCACAGTGATGATGTCAGTTTGCAAGGGAAGAAATATTGAAAGCTTGAAGTTGCAACCTTTTCATGACAACCAGGTGCATTACACCCAAAGACATCTGTTCATTAATTCTTTATAACATATTATTTGATCAGGTTTGCCATTATAGACTAGATAACTATTGATGGAAACCTGCTTAACTAGGATGAAATATATTTGAAGCTCGTTTAAGAAGTAGAAACTAGCTATTTATGTAAGTTGGTTTTATTTTGGATATGTGATTCTAGTCTCATTTTGATTCATGCTTCAGGCAACTCTTAGCAAGCCTTGTGATTAAATCATCTTGGAGTGCTGCTATCTGTAATAGATGGCTTCAAAGGAAAAAAAGGCTTTGCTATGCTTTTGCAGTTTGCTTTGCTGGAACACATGCTGAGAGAAGATATTATTTTGCTGTTAATAGCTAAAATGTCTTTTGAGCTCTGGTATCCACGGACTATTATGCTCGTGTTTGAGTATTCTTAAGTAGGATCTGCTATGTTTCCTTATTCTCCCTGGCTGTTTGCAGCCTCATCTGTAGTGCCATTTGCTATGGATGAATGAGAAAAGGGAAAATTAGGATTAGGGGTGTTCATGGTATGGTTTGGTTCGAATTTTATTATTTTTTAAACCAATTCAATTTAATTAGTTAATAGAATTTTTAAATCAATCCAATCTATTATTATGTGATAACCAAACTAATTCAATTTAAATCGGATCGGTATGGTTCAGTCGGGTTGATCGATTTTTAACATTATTAAATATATAAGATAATGTAAAAATATTTTAATATCAAATAAAAAGTATAACTATAAAATACATTAACATCTAAATCAGTAAAAACATAATAAAAGGTAAAAATTATAAACGAATTCTTATACTCCTTTACATTTATAAAAATTGAAAAGTTTTGAAAATTCTTTTTGGTTACATCACTAGAGGCATAAAAAACAATAAAAAATAATTTTAAATTTCTAGTACAATGTAAATAATTTTTGAAGGTTAAAATTAATTTTTTTTCTTAATACACTAATAATTTAATTTCATTTTTTAAATCATGTTAAAAGTAAACAACATTTCACATGAATATTATTACAATTGATTAGAAGTATTCAATATCAAAATTTAAAACTTCTAAACTAAATATTTAAGAATAGTTGAATATTAAGATTAATTTTATTATATAATTTTATGGTTTTTAGAATGATACTTATTTAAAATTTAGTTAGAAAAATCATAAGATTATTTTAAGAATAAATTATAAATTTAGAGTTCTAAGAGTAAAAGCGCAAACTAATTCTGAGAAGATAGAGTTGCAGGTGAATTAAAAATTTAAAATTAAGGTTAGAGTGCATGATTAAAATAGAAAAGTAATTTAGGGAATATGGAAATGTTCTATTTTTATTTTTTTAATTAAGTTAATGGAGTTATAATCTTGTAAAATAAGAAAAAGAAAATTTAAAATACTATAAAAATTATGTTATATTATTTAATTAAATTATCTTCTAATCGGATTTTATTTTGTAATTGGGTAGTTCGAGCGATTTAAAGGTAAAACCACAAATCAAACCAATTATATCATTTTTAAAATTTTAGAATTCAAACAAACTTAATTTTATATCAGTTTGGATCGGTTTTTAATTGAATCGGACCAGTTTAGATCGGATCAATTGAATTGGATTGGATATAAACACCTCTAATTTAGGATGTTTTAATATTAAAAATATCAGGACGTCCAATAACAATTATATGACATGTAGAGGATAATGTAAGTTCTAATTTTATTAAATTCATTATGTGATTATTATTGGACGTCTTTGACACTTTTAATGTCAGGATGTCTTGATTTTTTCTTTTGCCGTGAATGAATATAAGAAGATTTATTTTACTAAATATAGAACCTGGGTGAACCATTTGAATATGTTTCTTCTTTCGCACTCGCAATTGTTTTTGTCCAACTTGCCCTCGCAGTTAGCTTGCTTAATCTTCTTCTCCTAAGGATGTGCATAATCATCACTACTTAGATAGAACATTCAAAAGCTAGTATAAGAAAGACATACGAACGGCAATCGTTAGAAGTATAAAAAGAACGGCGTTTTATAGGCATAAGGTGTAAATTGCACTTCAATATTTTCAATTAAAGCAAAATTTTTTTTTTAATAAGGGTAATGCGTAGTAATTAGGTTAAGAATTGTTAGCAACTGGAGATTCGATCCCCACAACAAGTGATTTTTCACCCATTTCATTGGGGTGCACAGCCCATTGGGCCGCATGATGGAGTTCAATTAAAGCAAATTAGTACTTAGAAAAACAATTAAAGCAAATTGTCATTTTAAATTTTTATTTTTAAAAAATCAGTTTAAATTTAATAATTATTGATAATTTTTTGTTAGATTTTAAAAATAATAGTTTAATAAAAAAAATCGTTAAATTTTAATTAATTTCTTTAAAATAAAATTTTTAGATGACAATTTAATTTTTTTAACTTTAATTTAAAAATAAGGTTTTTTAAAACTCTTTCATTATAAACTTGTATAAAAAATAGATGTTAATATTAATGTTAATATTATTATTATGTCTATAAATTTAATTAAATGATTAATAAATTAAATATTAATTTTTATTTTTGAGTATAAATTTATTTAAAAAATATATTTATTAAAAAAAATCCTTAAAAATATTGGTAGCGGTTTGTACATTTGGCCCATTTTCTCTTGGTCATCAAGCCGCATTTGGTGAGGGATTTCGATGTGTGATTTCTGTTCCCATTTTTTCCGCTAACACTTTGATTTGATGTGTCTCTTCGTTTCCCACTTTCTATGAAGCTCGCAAGTCTGGGGGATTGTTTTTTCTCTCACAAATATAAAAATTTATTAGAAGAAAATTTAAAAATCAAATTTTAAGACTAATTTTTTACTAAATTTTAAAAAATTTTAAATGTGTAGTTTTTTAAAATTTACCAAAAGTTATTTTAAAAACTGATTTTAATTTTTTAATAAATTTTAAAATTTGTAAGTGCAGAATTGGACGATTCATGAGCTCTTTAATCTTTCGCAAACTTGCTTTACAATTGAAAATGACCATTGAATCCCTAATACTCTACAATTGAAAAGATATTATAAAAATATCAAGTCAAATCCTATGAGTAAGAAATCAAATTATAATATGTTTAAATCACTCTTAATATATATTAGATTTAAATTATTCTTGTATTATTTTAAGAAAAGCTCATTAGATATTTATTAAACATTTTTTCAAAGTTAATTGGGTATTTATTAATTTTTTTAAAAAACCAATTAAGAATTTGTTTAAGAATTTTACTATTTTCTATATAAGGAAGGTGCATTTATAATGTGATTAGTGTGTTATGAAGAGTATAGGGCTTAGGGTGTGACTATGTATGTATGAGGAATCCTTAAGTTTAGGATAAACCAAAAAAGGAGTTGTGTGAGAAAGAGAATTTGCAGACTTTTAAGTTATCTTGGAATGGTTTGTTTGGGTTGTACTTAGAATTATCATACTTAGCCCACAAAAGTTTAAGTGTTGGCTGTGAAGTATGGAATTTTGGGTTGAGAACTTAAAATTGTGTTTGTGTAGGTATTGGCATTTAGCTCTCGATATCTGTCACTTTCAATCCCTATTCTAGCTCACAAGAAACAAATCTCTTGACTCATTCAGTGAAACGAATCAAGGGAGACGAAAATCATTCGACTGCTGAAGATTGCTTAATGCGGGAACTGATGGAATGGCCTATCTCGTACAAGGATATGGTCTTTGCCCAAGAACCAACTTCAATTATCTGTGACAGCTCTTTGCGTGATGACTTCTTGGAAGAGGACTCAGACATGGAAGATGATGGATCTATCCTCACAATCCTCATCTCCAAGGAAGAAAAGAGGAGAATCAGATCCTTATGGCTTAACTCTATCATCATTAAAGCCTTTGGAACAGACAAAGTTGGATATAATTTTATCCTCCCAAGAATTAAAGCTTAATGGAAACCCAAGGAGAAATTGGATTGTATTGACTTAGGACTTGATTTTTTCCTTATATGCTTCCAAGATAGAGATGATCTGAACAAAGTTCTTCATGGGGGACCATGGTTTGTCGGTCCTAATATCCTGACTATTAGGAAATGGGAACCAACCTTTAATCCAGAAAAGGCTATGTTCAAAGCAACGACAATCTGGGCTAGACTTCCAAAATTACCTATTGAATACTATGACTTTAAAATTCTAGAAAGGATTGGCAAGATGTTGGGCACTCCACTAACAATTGATGCTCATATTGCACACCAATTGAGGGGACAATATGCCTACATTTGTATCCAAGTTGATCTTGAAGAACCACTAGTCCCCTGTGTTCGTATCAGAAATCATGTTCAAAAGGTTTTGTATGAAGGCCCAGTTTCATTATGTTTCTCATGTGGTTGTGTTGGTCACAAAGAAAGCCACTATCCTTTACAACTTTCTCAGATTAACCCTGTTAATGAGGAAACTACTGATAAGCTGAATTTATATACATATTAATGTTGAATTTTTGGCCTTGATATTATTAATATTTGGATGAATTTTATGAGATTTTACATGGGTTTCATTTTTTGTGCAGAAAAGGACTTGGATGCATAATAATAGGAGTTTTTGGAATTAATTGAACATCATCTGGAAGTTGAGGGACTGAACTGCAAGAAGAAAGAGGCTTCTTTGGGGCCTAAATGAATGAATCTTAAGTTTCGAGATCTCAGTGCTCATCGTACAAAACCTGGAAGATCAAATCTGAAATTTCACCATTTAAGAAATTACAAAACGAGGCCAAAAACCTGACACGGGTGTGGTGTCGATGCATAATCGGGGTGTCGACACTATGCGTCATGCTGCCAGAATTATAGATTCTGTTTCTTGTTCTGTGTCGACATGTAGTTCAAGGTGTTGGCACTATACGTTCAGTGTCCAAAATCCTAATTTCCTATTTTGTTCCAAGTCCTACTTTTCTTCTAATAGGATCTGTTAAACTCTATAAATACCCATTCAAAAATCAATTTTAGGGCTTTTGAGAGGAGACCAAGAGAGATGGCTAAGAAGAATTCAACAACAAAAGAAGATCAAGGTTTTGGATTTTATATTGTCAAACTGGTTTTACTTGTCTTTGAATTTTATTTTATGATGTTGGATACTCATATATTCATCATGGGATTATTGATTTTCTCTTCTTTAATTATGAACTAATCTAGCCATCTAAAGTTACGATGTAACCTAATCAATTTAATATAATTTTATGATTTTTATACTTTCAAGATTTATTATTTTATGTAGAGTATATATTGTTGTTCTTAATGCTTTTTAATGATTGGCCACCATTAAAACTGATTTGGAGAGCATAATTGAGACGGAAAGGAGATTTTATGTAATAGCTTCTAGTAATATATACCATGAATTGAACGAAAACCAGAGATGGACCAACGTGATTTGTACAACATTAGTGATAAGTGGACTTAATTTTCCATGTAAACTAGGGAATTTCACAGAACATAATGCATCTTTATCTATTTAAATTCACATAAAGATATAGTGGGTTAATAGGTGAAGATAGGTTTGGTATAAGTTGAGAAAGTATATCAAATAGGATAGGAAATTTCGCTGTCACATAAATAATAAATACCTTGAAAGTATATTAATCTAAATTCTATATTAGTTGATTATGGTGAAATCGGATGCCTTAGAATTTTAACTCTTGGTGTTACTTATAGTCAATTTAGTTTTTCTTTAATTAGTTTAGTTATTTAGTTTATTCAAATAATTTAATTTTAATTGTTCAAATAAAATTAGAATTAGTTAATTTTGGTACTTAATTAGTTTACAGTCTCTGTGGGACGATACTCTATTTTCATCATTATATTACTGGAACTGACTAATATACTTGCTAGAGTGGAATTAGCTCATCAAGTTTTTGGCGCCATTGTCGGGGACTGTATTGATTCTAATTAATATCAAAGCAGATTAATTTTAGTTTTAATTTGATTTTTTTTCTTTTATTTGTTTTTCAGGTGTGCAAGTTAGTGCATGACTCGTTTTGAAAACAAAGAACTTGCACTATTTGATCCTTAGATAGAGTGAACTTTTCACCTTTTAAACAAAAGGAAGGAAGCTTTAGTTGTCAATCAACCTCACAAGATGGCAGAAGAAGCTGTTGCAAGAACCTTGAGAGAGTATGGATCACCTTCAATGGACGGTGTGGCCTCATATATAAGAAAACCAACAATACAAGCTAACAACTTTGAAATCAAGCCAACTTATATTCAGATGATTCAACAATCAGTCCAATTCAGTGGATTGTCAAATGAAAATCCAAATGAACATTTGACCAGATTTTTAGAAATTTGTGACACATTCAAGTATAATGGAGTTTCAGAAGATGCAAAAAGATTGAGACTTTTCTCTTTCTCTTTGAGGGATAAAGCAAAGAATTTGTTTTATTCTTTACCTTTGGACTCAATTACTACTTGGGAAGAGATGTCAAGCAAATTTCTTGGTAAGTACTTTCCTCATTCTAAAACTGCCAAGATGCATAACGATATTACTACTTTTATGCAATTTGACACGGAGTCATTGTATGAGGCATGGGAGAGATACAAAGAGTTACTTAGAATGTGCCCATATCATGGTCTACCTATATGGTTACAGGTACAAACTTTTTACAATGGTTTATTCCCAAATACTTGTACCATGCTTGATGCAGCTGTAGGTGGATCATTAATGAGTAAAATTCCTGAGGAAGCTTATAAGCTAATAGAGGAGATGGCTTCAAATAATTATCAATGGAATTCTGAATGAACACCAATCAAAAGAAGTGATGGAATACATGAAGTTGACACTCTCAAAGTCCTAACTGCTCAAGTGGAAGCCTTCCATAAGAAATTCGATAAATTGAATGCTTCTGCTAGGCATGTCCAGAATGTAACTTGTGATTGTTGTGGAGGAGGACATACAAATGCTGAATGTTAGGTAAGTAATTCCTTTGCACAATCACATGAGAGTGCTAACTTTGTTGGTAATTTTAACAGGCAACAAAATAATCCCTACTTCAATACTTACAATCTTGGTTGGAAAAATCATCCAAATTTTTCATGGAGCAACAATTAAAACATAGTACAGCAACCTCCAAGATTTCAGCAACCACTTGAAAAAAAAATCATATTTGGAGGATTTGTTAGAAAAGTTCATTGCTGCTAGTGAATCAAGGTTTCAAAGTCAAGAAGCAGCAACCAAGAACTTGGAAGCAATAGTCCAAAACCAAGGTGCATCAATATGAAATTTAGAGGTTCAAGTGGGTCAGTTGGCAAATATGATTTATGGAAGAAACCAAGGAGCTCTACCCAGCAATACAAAGATAAATCCCAAGGAACAGGTAAATGCCATAACTTTGAGAAGTGGGAAACAAATTCAAAGAGAGCAAGACATGATAAGTGAATCAAAAGAGGAAGAGAAAGAAATTCATGGGGAAGATGAAGTTCTAGAACCACCCAAACCCAAGGAAATCAAGCCATATGTGCCTCCCATTCCTTTTCCTCAGAGATTGAAGCAGCATCAATACAATAAGGAATTTGGTAAATTTTTTGACATGCTTAAGAAATTGAACATTAACATTCCTTTTGTAGATGCAATAGCTCAGATGCCAAATTATGCAAAATTCTTGAAGAGCATCTTGACAAATAAGAGGAAATTGGAAGATTTTGAAACAGTGACTTTAAATGAGGAGTGTTCAGCAATTTTACAGAATAAGCTTCCTCCCAAATTAAAGATCCAGGGAGTTTCACCATTCCTTGCACTATTGGAAATCATCATTTTGATAAAGCTTTATGTGATTTGGGAGCAAGTATTAACTTGATGCCTTTTTCTGTTTTTAGGAAATTAGGACTTGGAGAGCCAAAAGCAACCAATGTATCCCTTCAACTTGCAAATCGATCTATCAAATATCCAAAGGGTATAGTTGAAGATGTTTTGGTAAAAGTAGATAAGTTTATATTTCTTGTTGATTTCATAGTGTTGGATATGGAAGAGGACTATAAGGTCCCTCTTATTTTAGGTCGTCCTTTTCTTGCAACTAGTAGAGCATTAATAGATATTCAAGAAGGAAAATTGATTCTTAGAGTGCAGAATGAACAGGTTATCTTTAATGTTTTTGAAGCTGTAAACTATCCTTCTAATGATATTGAAGAGTGTTTTGCAGCTAGTGACAAGATGGTTAATAAGGTTATGCAAGAAAAAGTACCTAAAAATGCACATGAGAAGTTTATTGTGCAACAATAGGGAACCAAGGTCAACGATGAGGCCATTAAGGAAGGACATTCTTCAAAAGCATCTCCACCAAGTCCAAAATCGAGAAGGCCAAAATTTAAAAATCCTCAAAAACCCAATTTGGGTAATGAAGAGCTTCCAAATTGACATGAAATCTATGAAAATGTGCGACTTTACCAAGAGAATGGTGGATGCAACAAACACAAGACCACCACTGAATTATGCAATCCTAGATAATGATTTGAGATAGTCAAGCTAATGACTATAAATTAAGCGCTTCTTGGGAGGCAACTCAAGCATTAAATTTTTTTTCCATTTTATTTTTCTTAAGTTTCTTTTTATTACTAATTTATTTAATTTTTTTCTGGTTTCAGATTAGTGCACAAGTTTGAGGGAAAATTCAAGCCTCAAGATCAACTTTGTATATTCAAGTGCATATAATTTGGGAAGTTTCCTTTCTCCTTTACTTATTCTTTTAACATTGAGGACAATGTTTGATTTAAGTTTGGGGGAGGGAGATATATTTTGATGCTCATATTTGCATTTGATCATATTCATGTTGTTTGCATACCAATTTTTTTTTCTTTTCTGTTCTTCTTCTCTTTACAAAACAGTTTTTCTTTTTTTAGGAATTTGATCATTTAGTAGCAAAGATTTAAATATTCAGGAGTTAGAAATTCATGAGTGCCCTATTAGAAAAATACAAAATTTGAAAAATAACACCATTGTGATGAAGTTTAAGTTCATGAGTATTGTATTCAATTGAGCACAAGTTTATAGTGAGAAGTTTAGAAAGAAAACTTAGTAGCACTTAAAAAGCATAAAAAGAAAAAAGAGAGGAAAAGAAGCCAATACAAAAGAGTTATTACATTCTACTCCAATGTTTCTAGTTGCTTAGTAATTGGGGGTTAGGCATCAGACCCATGTTAGCTTTCATGTCAAATGGTGACTTGAAATATGAGTATGCAAAGCAATCTAAGTTTATGACTTGTTGAGTAATCGGGTGCTTTCATCACAAATGTTAGTATTCGCGTTAAAAGGCAAGTGATAGCTTTGAGAAAAATATGTGTATGGCTTTAAAAAAAAAAAAAAGTCAAATGTTTCGTGACCTTTGTTACTTGAGTAAGTATGTTCTTAGGGGTGTCTTTTCACCTAATGCCTTAAAGCCAACTGGTTTGGGAGTCATTGACAGAAAACTCGTTACATGGGTAACTTAGAAAGCCTAAGGAAACTTGACTCAAAAAGAAAATAATAATAATAATAATAATAATAATGTGCTCAAGTGTGAAGGTCTAAATTCGAAAACTTCTCATTATGAATTTTCACACACACACTAAGTGCTCATGAGCTAAATCTTTTGATAAGTGGTGTGAAAAATAGGATGGAGTATTTGAAGTTAAGGGAGTATTTGAAACTCTTAAATATTTGAGATTTTGTATCTAATTGAATTTTAATTCCTAAATTTTCTTTGCATGCATATCATGTAGTTGCATTCTTGCACTAGGATTTTGTGGGTAGATCCACTAAAAACCCTCATGAGACACAACTTATCCACTAGAGTGACTTAGGGGTTTGAAGGCTTGTTGCACATGTTAAGTGCAATCGTGATTCCTATGAAAGTGAGTTAGGTTTTATTTTTGTCATTTTATTTTGCTCGAGGACTAGCAAAACTTAAGTTTGGGGGAATTTGATAAGTTGAATTTATATACATATTAATGTTGAATTTTTGGCCTTGATATTATTAATATTTGGATGAATTTTATGAGATTTTACATGGATTTCATTTTTTATGCAGAAAAGGACTTGGATGCATAATAATAGGAGTTTTTGAAATTAATTGAACATCATCTGGAAGTTGACGGGCTGAACTGCAAGAAGAAAGAGGCTTCTTTGGGATCTAAATGAATGAATCTTAAGTTTCGAGATCTCAGTGCTCATCGTACAACACCTGGAGGATCAGATCTGAAATTTCACCATTGAAGAAATTGCAAAACGAGCCAGAAACCAGGCACGGTGGGGCGTCGACACATAATTGGGGTGTCGACACTATGCGTCAAGCTACCAGAATTATAGATTCTGTTTCCTGTTCTGTGTCGACAGGTAGTTCAGGGTGTTGGCACTATATGTTCAGCGTCCAAAATCCCAATTTCCTATTTTGTTCCGAGTCCTACTTCTCTTCTAATAAGGTTTCTTAAACTCTATAAATACCCATTCAAAAATCAGTTTTAGGGCTTTTGAGAGGAGACCAAGAGAGACGGCTAAGAGGAATTCAACAACAAAAAAAGATTAAGACTTGGGATTTTATATCGTCAAATTGATTTTTTTTTGTCCTTAAATTTTATTTTATAACGTTGAATACTCATATATTCATCATGGGATTATTGATGTTCTCTTCTTTAATTATGAATTAATTTAGCCATCTAAGGCTGCGATGTAACATAATCAATTTAATATAATTTTATGGCTTTTATACTTTCAAGGTTTATTATTTTATATAGAATATATATTATTATTCTTAATGCTTTTTAATGGTTGGCTACCATTAAAATTGATTTGGAGAGCATAATTGAGACCGAGAGGATATTTTATGCAATAACTTCTAGTAATATATACTATGAATTGAACAAAAGTCAGAGATGGACCAACGTGATTTGTTCAGCATTAGTGATAAGTGAATTTAATTTTTCACATAAATTAGGAAATTTCACAGAACATAATGCATCTTTATCTATTTAAATTACATAGAGATATAGTGGGTTAATAGGTGAAGATAGGTTTGGTATAATTTGAAAAAGTATATCAAATAGGATAGGAAATCCCGCTATCACATAAATAATAAATACCTTGGGAGTATATTAATCTGAATTCTATATTAGTTGATTATGGTGAAAACGAATGCTTTAGAATTTTAACTCTTGGTGTTACTTAAAGTCAATTCAGTTGTTCTTTAATTAGTTTAGTTATTTAGTTTATTCAAATCATTTAATTTTAATTGTTCAAATAAAATTAGAATTAGTTAATTTTGATACTTAATTAGTCTACAATCTCTGTGGGGCGATACTCTATTTTCATCATTATATTACTTGAACTAACTAGTACTAGAGTGGAATTAGCTCATCAACTACCATAAACTCTCAACCCCCCCTGGATTAGAAAATGTTCAAGATATTGAAATTATAGAATCTCAAAGCTTTGGCCTTGGATGTTGGTGGAGAGGAAGCGACCCCAAAAGAAACCAAGTACTAGCGTTAAAGCTCGCCAATCAAATATTTCGATGGAAAAACAGAGCAATCATCTTCAACCAAACTCAGTGAGTAGACTCGATGGGTTGAGAGTTGAGTTAAGGGCACCTATTTCGAAAGGGAGCATTAGAGTCAATAGTTTATTAAATGAGACTATCGTTATTCTAAACGATCCGAACCCCTCTACTCAACAAAAGATCCAATAATGTCCAGCCCCAAATGGTGGTCCCAACATAGGAAAGGCCCAAATACCCCAACAAACCCAACCCATGCATAAAGGAGATAAGGTTCAAGATAATATTTCATATACCCCTGCTCCCACACATGGAAAGACCCCTTACACCAAAAATTCTGCCAACCACAACAAAAACCAAACCAATGTCAAGAGTATTTCGTTTGAAAGATCAAGCGCCTCCAATCCAGTTTTGGATAATGGATCCAACGATGTTCACCATGCTTAGTCATACATGGGATGTCTATTTGGTCAACAACAACAACAAAACCCTACGGATGGAAGATGCTCTTTCACTGATTTTGGAAAAAAACCCAACACTAATTGAGGGTTGGTATATCGAGGAGATGAGCACATGCTGGCTCAAATCGAGCCTGGTAAAGAAAGGTGTGGACCCCATGCCATTTCTTCCCCTACCTCAAATGCAGGAGTGGATCCCATTTCCACAACATCTTCAAGCCCTAGATTCGTGCATTCAGGAGTTAGGAAGATGGATCTCGATGATAGAAATGATTTGTTGGGACGAGTGGTCAAAACCAATCTCACCGAAGGTAGTTTCATTCCAAGTGATCACCCATTTCTACACCAACTCAAGATGATAGGATGCATGAAGACAGTGCATTTGATAACCCAAAGGGAGCAGATCTAGCACTCCAATGAGTTTCAATACAAGTAAATTGTTCTGTTGTACTATTTTTCGAATGTCAACCTGATGGTACTAAACAAGGACGGTCAACTAGTTTGGATGCAAGAGCTAGCAGGATGGATGATGATTACCTTCAGTAAGAGAGTTTAGACAATGAAGGTTTTGTCATGGAATTACCGTGGAGTGGCTCATGATGATTTTAAACACAATGCTATGGGTATTATCAACAAACATAATCCTGGGATTTTCATCATCATCAGGACTAAAGTTGCTAGTGAGAAAGATAAGGAGATTGCGGCTTCCCTTAAGTTTCTATGAGCCTCCATTGTTGATGCTGATGGTTTAGCAGGGGGGATCTAGCTCCTTTGGGATGATACTCGTTTTCAGGTGTATGTACTCAATGAAAGGGCCCAAGTCATCCATGCCTAAACTCTCATCCTTCCTTTTCTAATTTTATTTGGTACCTATCCGTTGTTTATGGTCATTCTCAGTTCGAGACTAGAAGTTTTCTGTGGGAGAACCTTAAACAGTTCTCTCAAGTCATTCAAGGTCCTTGGTTGGTTATTAGGGATTTCAATGATGTTACTTGCCAGGATGAGAAATTTGGGGGTAACATTGTTCCCCAATATCGAATTAGAGCATATGTGGACTGTATGAATTATTGTGATCTTCTAGATTTGGGTTAATCAGGCCCAAAATTCACTTGGGTGAACAAACGAGAATCTAACCAGTTAATTAGAGAATGACTTGATAGGGCTTGGGTCAATCCTCCTTGGAGAATGCTCTTCCTTGAGGCTTCTCTTCGTCACCTTCCTTGTCTTCATTCGGATCACTGTCCCATTCTCCTTCAACTAGATCCTATAGTTCCTTAACATGGGGATTAACCTTTTAGACTTGAAAAATTCTAGTTAGATCATGAGTCTTTCAAGGATCTTGTGCTAAAGTATTGATCTAATTCTTATCTCTTTTTTTATCTACGCTCGGTTGCTTTTAAAAATTCTTACATTAGCTGGAGTAAGGCGACCTTTCCTAATTTCCATAAAAGAAAGATAGAACTATTGGCTCGGTTAGATGGGATCCAAAGAGCCCTTTAACACAAAAACAATCCTTTCCTCCAAAACTTGGAGGATATCCTCTCACAGGAGTATCAAACAATCCTCAAGTATGAGGAGGATTTGTGGTTTATGAAATCTTGAGTTCAATGGATCTAGAAAGGTGACAGAAATTCAAAATTTTTTAATGTTTCTACAATCAAGCGAAGATCCCATAATCGGATTCTTGGCCTTAAGGACCTTAAAGGTAATTGGTGTTTTGCTGCAGAGGATATTAACTCTCTAATTACCTCTCATTTCAAAAATCTTTATAACTTTTCCCATATCCAGTCTTTTCATGACTCTTATATGGATATCCTCAATGGTTTATCGATTCACTCTTCTGGCTGGCACCATTTATCTAACATTCCTTCCGAGAGGGAAGTTTGGACTGCACTTAACTTTATGCAGCTTTTTAAAGCCTCTGGACTTGATGGCTTACAAGCTGACTTTTTTCAAAAATATTGGGAGTTTCTTAAGGAGAACTTGTGGTTCGAGATCTCCAATATTCTCTAATTTGCTAGTATGATCAGCTCATGGAAATTCTAGCCTTTTTGCTCTCATCCCTAAGGTTAACAAGCTTGAGTCTGTTTCTCAGTTTTGTCCTATAGGACTGCAATATTTCCTATAAAATTGTCACAAAAATTATTGTTCTTAGACTCAAGCCGATTATGGATAGTCTTATCTCCCCTATGCAAGCTAGCTTCATCCCTGAGCACAATGGTGTTGATAATGTGACCTTACTAAGAGAGTTTGTCTTTTCTTTTAGTAGAAAAAAGAGGAGACATGGAGAAATGATCATTAAATTAGATTTAGAAAAAGCATATGATTGTTTGGAGTGGAGCTTCGTTAAAGAAACTAATTTTCTTCAACTTCCCTCCCAATCTAATTGATATTATCATGTCATGTATTTCCTTTGCAAATATGGCGTGCATTGTTAATGGGGGTATCTCCGAATCTTTTCAACCATCTAGAGGATTGAGACAAGGAGACCCTCTATCTTCTTACGTATTCATCCTTTGCTTAGAATTTCTTTCTCTTCATATCCAACAAGATGTGTAGAATGGACGTTGAAAGGGCACCAAACTCAGGAAATCAGGTCTGATTATCTCTCACCCTTTCTTTGCTGATGACCTTATCTTTATTGGGAAGCATCTACTGCTAATGCGTCTCATTTAAAAAACTTGCTGAGTTTCTTCTATTCTCGTTTTGGACAGAATATAAACCAAAGCAAGTTCAAAATTCTTTTTTCAAAAAATACTGATGATCTCACCAAGTCCAATATCTGTCACACACTTGGCTTTTCCGAGACTAACTTCCTTGGTAAGTATCTTGGGATTCCTATTACCCTTAAGAAGGTTTCCAAGAAGGATTGTTCTTTCATTGTGGATAAAGTTAGAGGCAAACTAGCAGGTTGAAAGGCTAACATGCTTTCACTGGCTGGTAGAGCTACTCTAACCTTTTCTGTCCTTTCTACTATCCCTAATTATTATATGCAAGCGGTTTACCTTCCTAGCTTGATTCATGATGACCTTGACAAAATCTCTAGCGATTTTATATGGGGTTCTACTGATGAGAAAAAGAAAAATCATCTTGTTTCATGGAAGATAATTACCCAACCAAAGAGGAATGAGGGGTATTAGTATCAAATCTGCCAAGGAGGCTAATCAAGCCTTTATGGTGAAGCTCCAATGGAGGCTCACTACAGATAAAGGTAATTTGTGGGCTAAGGCTCTCAAACAAAAGTATAAAATTGAGGGATCTAGGCATGATTTTTCCAACTCCCCCTCCCCTGTTTGTAAAGATATGGCAAAAGGTAGTCATATTTTTCACTCAGGCATTTCTTGGATTCCTAGAAATGGGAATAATACTTTTTTTTGGCAAGACAGGTGATGTGGGTCTAAACCACTAAATTTTATCCTTTTTGGTCCTTTTAAACCAATTGACTACCAATTGAAGGTGGTTGATATTTTAACTCCCCAAGGTACTTGGGATTTAGATAAAATATCCTACCACCTCCTTGCTAATATTGTGGCTTGTATTTAAGCCATACCCTTGTCCAAGTATACCATTGAGGATGATAAGTTTGTTTGGAACTCATTTGCTAATGCCATTTTCTCTATGAATTCTACTTATAATATTGCAAAAGGCTCGCCTATATGCCAAAAAGACCAGTGGTATTGGATCTGAAAGGTTCATACTTTTCCAAAAGTCCAATATTTCTTATGGCTCCTCATGCATCAAATCCAGACCTTTGATACTTTGGCTAAATGGGGTGTGTTACTGATAGCACATGCCTCATGTGCCGTCTGGTGCCTGAAACCATTAAGCATCTATTCAGGGAGTGTCCTTTTGCTGGTTGCATCTGGTCTGCTGTTTCTCCCTGTAACTGTCCTCTTCTCCACCATGTTGCTGATTTTAAAGATTGGCTACAAGCTAATTGTGTTAGTGGTAGTTCTAACTTTGACTACACAAAACACTGGAGCACCTTTTTTACCTTCACTTTATGGACCATCTGGTTTTCTAGAAATCAATTTGTCCATAATAGCACCCAAATGAATAGTCAGCAAATTAAGAGTGTTATTCTTAACGGAGTGCAGAAGTTCCTTAAATATAACTCTCCTGATATTACTCTTAGAAATAAGACTATGGTCCACATTGGTTGGTCACCTCCACCTCCTGGCTTCTTGAAACTTAACAATGATGGTTTTGCCCAAGGTAACCCAGGGACGTCTGGTGCAAGAGGTATATTTAGAGATCATAATGGTTTCTGGATGTATGGTTACTCTAGAAGAGTTGGCTTTACCACTAGTTTTGTTGCTAAACTTTGGGCCATTAGGGATGGTTTAGATATTGTTGTTCACAGAGGAATTTCCAAACTTATTTTGGAAACAAATTCCAAAGTTGCAGAAATTCTTCTTCAATCTACAGACCATATCTTCCACTCACTTGGTGTGCTTATTCTTGATTGCAGGTGTCTCATGCAAGAGGTTTCTGACTTTCAAATCCACCATATCTATAAGAGGCTAATGTGCAGACTTTTTGGGCAAGCTTGGTGTTTCCTCTTATTTTGACTTTATGTTGTATGATGAGAGACCTAATGAGCTCTATTTTATTTTGTTCTGTGACTGTATCGAAATTGTTGTTCTGTGGATTGTTGTAGCCGTTTAATATTTATATATATAATTGTAATTGCACCAAACCAGAAGTCCTTCTTCAGTCCGCGTCTCTATTCCGAGTGAACCTGCAAAGCCCCGAGGTGAGTCCTCGAGGTAGACACTCCAATGCTTAAGTCAGCAATAATTGGATCTACCTCTAGAATAATGGGAAAATGAGCTTTAGGTCGGTTTCAATTACCTTTCTGAGGTGGCCCCTGGGGGATATTTATAAGCCCTAGCAAGGTGTCCACGTGGCTTGTTTAACAAGATAATCGGAGTGTGACATGTCCCTTCAGGCGATTATTTCGAGATCGAGAAATTATGTAAATTAGGTGTGGGCATGTTCACTGTATTTATCATGTAGCCATTTAACTGGGAAGTGCTGGATTTAACTTCACTTAGGTTATTAAGGAACTGTAGCAGTACATCCGAGGTTAAGGACCTTGGACCTATCCTTACACTATTCCTCCCTCGAAGTCATTCACTTGTGAATGATGTTGTTAGAGGTGATGGGAGTAGTGTATAGTTAGGTGAAAAGAGGAATGAAAGAATATTATAAATGAGTTAATGGAGTTATAATAAAAATTGGTAACTCAAATTTATGTATGGCTGTAACTAATAGTAGAATATGTGACACGGGGTCATGGTGGCCATATCCGAAATGAAATGTGATGCGTGAAATCACAATGGCTAGAGTAATGACTGAAGTCATTGTGATCAGGGTTGTAATAAAAAGTAATGACTAACTAATAGTAGAATATGTGACACGGGGTCATGGTGGCCATATCCGAAATGAAATGTGACGCGGGATCACAATGGCTAGAGTAATGACTAAAGTCATTGTGATTGTGATTGGGGTCATAGTAAAAAGTAATGACTAGAGTCATTGTGGCCAGAGCCGTAGTAAAAAGTAATGACCAGAGTCATTGTGGTCAGACCCGTAGTAAAATATGTGACACAGGGTCACTATGACTGGAGCTGAAGTAAAATATGTAGACACGAGGTTACTATGATCGGAGCTGAAGTGAAATATGTGACACGGGGCCACTATGGCCGGAGCTGAAGTAAAACATGTGACACAGGGTCACTACGGCCGAAGCCGAAGTAAAATAATAAACAAGGGGTCACTATGGCCGGAGCTGAGGTAAAATATGTAACACGGGGTTACTATGGCCGGAGCCGAGGTAAAATATGTGACACGAGGTCACTATGGTCAGAGCTGAGGTAAAACACTTGTAAAATTGAAAAATATTATTATGAAAGTGAACAGAAGTGTTGAGTTGGGCTTAATTGGGCCCGTTAAAAAAGTCTGACGTAGAGTTAGTGACGTGACAGCTGTTTGTCGAAAGACGTGTATAATAAATACGAGTTGTAAAAAAGTAACTGTTATTGTTAAACAGACGGAATGGAAAATGAACCGTCGAATTCGAGAGACTTCTATTAGGGATTAACCATCGAATTCGAAACGGTGTGATTGTGACCGTCATATGAAATTAATCAGAGCCGTTGAGGCGTATATTTTCTTTGGTATATATAGCTATACTTCTGTAAAAAGAGTTTTACTTTCTTCGTATTTGCTACCGAAGTGCTGCCAAAATCTCTACAGTGTGTGTGCGAGTGATTCGTGTGTTACATTTTCGACTTCGAGACTCGTTCTACATTATCGAAATCAGGTAACTTATGAACTTTTGTGATTCAAGTTCTAGTGGTGAATTTTATTCTCCTCTCACCTTTTTCGATTTAGGTTTAAGCCCTCTTAAAGAGGTTAGGGTTAGGAGTGAGAGTGATATTGAGCGTGAGTTAGAGTTTTTTGAAGATCCTGACTACATTTCTCCCCCTACTCCGTGCAGTGAAAGTTACGAGATTGACGAGATGACTTCTGAGGAAACATTGAGCATTGGGGGGAGCGAGGAAGTAAGAATGTTGGAGTATAGTGACATAAGTGTGGAGAGTGGGTCGTCTGAGTCTGAGCGAACAGAGGGAGGGGTAGTGCGAAATGAAGTGGTTGAGGTTAGGGCAGAAAGGGTTCCTGCAAATATCCTAGAAGTGGGAGATAGGAATAATAAGTGTTATGATAGTGGGGCAGACATTGTGTCTGAGGTAAAGGTATATGAGTCTGAACTCAGGAGTAGGGATAGCTTGAGTCATCTCGTAGAGACTTATGAGATTTCATCTCGGGTTCTGGTTAGGCCTGTTGGAGTGGAGGAAAGGGTATGCTCTGCACCCCAGGATCATTGGATGCCGGTGTGTGCCCATTATGTGGCTGTAGGGCTTAGGTTTCCATTACCAGATTTGCTGGTATGGTTGTTGTTAGAGTATAGTGTGGGTTTGACCCAATTGTCTCCCAACACAGTGAGGGTAATCATTGGGTTTATAGTGTATTGCCGAGCTAGGGGGGTTAAGGTACCTACGGTGAGTATGTTTAAGCACTTTTTTGTGCTTAAGGCTGGGAGTAGGAAGGAGAAAGGGTGGTACTATTTTACACCCCGATCATCCAACAAAGAAAAGAGGAACCTATTTAGTGCAGGACCTTCATCCATTAAAGGATGGAAAGAAAAATTTTTCTTTGTTGATGATACCGAGTGGGAGAGGGGGGATGGAGAAGTAGAATTTTTGTCCAATTGGAAGGCTAAAAAGGCCAATAAGAATAAGTATAGTTTAAATAGTGATGAGGAAGAAGAAGTGGAGAAGCTGGTGAGAAAAGAGGGTGATATAGTAGACATTATGTTTCTCACCAACTTGGATGTTATAGAAGCAGTTGAGCTCTATAGACCGAGCTCAATGAGCGAAGGTGTGTTTGTACCTTGTGTCATGTGTATAAGAGTTTAGTTCTAATTTGTGGAATTTAACATAATTGTTGTGTTGCAGCTAAAATGGACAAATTTCTGGGTGTTGCTAGTGGGGTGGCTATTCCCAAAAAGCTAAGGAAGAAGTCCAAGACTTTTGACAATGCTGCGAGTGAGAAAGGAGATGGGAACAAGGAGAAAGCACAGATGTCAAGTATAGAAGTCTGAGCTGTAGAGGTGGAGTTGAGGTCTAAACGAAAAAGAGATGAAGTGATCAAGCCCAAAAGCAGAAGAGGAGGGTGGAGGATAAGGTGAGGGGGACGAGGTAGTGGAATTCGTACCTCAGCCGGCTCCTATTGAGCTTGATCCTAAGCTCAGAGAGACTGAAGTTCCTACCCACGGTAAGGGTAAAGCAATTGTTCCCACTCCTGCACTCCAGAGCAGCATTTTTGGGAGTAACAATTTTTCAGTTGTGAAAAATTTTATCAATGCATATGTTCTTGAGGTGGATCGCCACCAAGCAAGAGAGAAAGTGTTGATGTATGGAGGGACCTCAGTTGTGAGGCATGCTCTTGAGGTAAGCTTAGTGATGATAATTGTTGTTAGTGGTGTTTTGTTTTGTTTTTTGTTTTTTGTTTTTTTTTTTAATTAGTTGTTGATGTGGCAGACTGCAACTTGGGTGAATGCGCTAGCCCAAGAGTTCATGGAACTCATGAGGGAGCGCAATAGCCTGTAGAAGGAAATAGATGAGCTGCTGAGGAAGAATGGGGAAATGAAGAGGGAGTTGGAGATAGTGGTACTAGTAGTGATGAGCTTGCAAGAGGAGAAAGACTCACTGAAGACGATTCTTTCATTCGAAGAGAGGAAGAGAAAAATGTGTGAAGAAGAGAATGAAGCACAAGATTAAGAAATAAAAAGAATGAGAGAATCCAAGGTCGAGCTCAAAAAGAACGTTCAGCTGCTGGTACACAATGGGATGAAGGAGCATATTAGCAACTTTGTCAACTCCAGCTCGTTTGACAACATTGTCAACCTCTATCGGATGCCTACTGCAATCCTCACTTTCATCGATTGCAGAAAGAAGGTGAAAGCGGAGTATCCCGATGTGGATATAACAAAGATCACTTTCGGTGAACAAGAAGAAGGGGTGGAGGAGAATGGTGAAAGTATGTCAGCGGACTTCCACCTTCAGATTAAACTGAGGTGGGATCACAATGAAGAAGAACGCACCGTTTTTCCTCCGAACTTTGACTTCGAGTTCGTAGCAGTCGAGGAAGAGGAAGTAGAGGTAGAAAGTGTTGAAGTTGAGGAGAACCAGCCACCTTTGCAAGTGGAGGTCCATCCAATTCCCTCTAATGAAGAACAGCCACCTCTTTCAGCAAATCAAGAGCCATCTCAGCCACCTCCTCCAGCGGAATAGCTAGGGATTTTTATTTTTTGATTTATGTAGTTGGAATTTGAACAATGATTAATGTAAACATTTTTGTAGAATTTATTAATTTAAGGAAAAGTTTTGAAATTAGTTTTCACGCTTATTTCATGCTTTTAATTGTTTTGTATTAATCATAAGAATTGAGATAAAGTAAATCACTTTGGATATGAATTGAGAAGAAATAAATCACTTCAGATATGAACTGAGGAGAAGTAAATCACTTCAGATATGAAGTGAAATTCATTAATAAAAGAAGACCAAGGAATAAATTCCAAACAGATTGACCTCGGATATACAAATAAGATATAAAATGAATCTCAAAAATGAAGAAATAATAATTGTAAAGAAGAATAAGACGAAGATCACTTGAAAGAAGTTTATTAAGGGTAAAATTACTTCAAGTTGTTGATATTCTAGACTCTAAGAAGTCGCTTCCCTTTAGCATCTTGGAGGATATAAGCACTGGGATGTGGCACTTCGGCCACTGTGTAAGGGCCTTCCCAATTTGGGGCCAATTTGTCAAAACGAGTTTCAAACCCTGTTAGACTAGCCCTTTTGAGAACAAGGTCTCCTACTTTGAATGTTCGAGAGTGGACTCATTTGTTGTAGAAGTTGGCTAATTTCTGCTTGTATACTTGAGTTCGAAGTCGTGCTTCTTCTCTGACTTCGGCAAGCAGATCAAGGTTTTCTTGAAACAGTTGTCCAGTTCGTCCTTCATCAAAATGGGTTACCCTGAAGCTTGGGACTCCTATTTCAATAAGAATGACTGCTTCAGTACCAAAGGCTAGGTGGTAAGGTGTTTCACCTATTTCATTAAATTATAGTTTTTAGAATATGCTTTATTTGTTGTGCATATTTGATCTAGGGTAAAGCCATAGGTGAGAAAATAAAATAGAATGAAAGTAAATTGGGTTAGAAATAGTACTTGTGGTAGTTCGGCTTGTAGTTCTATATGCCCATAGGACATTGTTGAGCTCATCTGCCCACTTGGCCTTGTGCTGCTCTAACCTCGGCTTTTTTCCCTCCAAGATAACTTTATTGACAGATTCAACCATACCATTGGACTCCAGATGGTATACTGAGGTAAACTGTAGTTTGACCCCGTAACTGGAGCAGAATTCTCTGAATGAAGAGCAATTAAACTGAGTACCATTATTAGCTACGATCTGATTCAGGATTCCATATTTGTAGATGATCGAGCTGAAAACAAAGTCTTTGACCTTTTTGGAAGTAAGAGTGGACAATGGCTGAGCTTCAACCCATTTTGTAAAATAGTCAACACCAACAATTAGATGGGTTACACCTCCAACTCCCTTCATGAATGGGCCTAGAAGATCAAGTCCCCACTAAGCAAATGGCCACAGTGCTACCAAGTTGGTAAGCTCTTCTGCTAGTTGGTGAGTCAAATGTGCGAAGAATTGGCACTTCGGGCATCTTTGTACAAAGTGAGTAGCATCCTTATACATATTCGGCCAGTAATATCCTTGTCTGAGGACTTTGTGAGCCAGGGTTCTAGCACCAATGTGGCTTCCACATACACCTTCATGTACATCTCGAAGTGCATACTCAGCTTCATAAGGATTCAAGCATCGTAGGAGAGGGAGTGAGAAAGATCTCTTATAGAGGACCCCATCAACGAGTGTATATCGAGACGTTTTCTTCCTCAACCTCATCGCTTCTTGCTTGTCTTCAAGTATTGACCCGTCTTGCAAAAAAGAGACAATTGGATCTGTCCAACTCGGTGTATTCGGGTCTGTGCTGATCTCCATCATTCTTGGCTTCATGAAACTCGGTTCATCTAAAACTTCAACGAAAATTGATCTGGAGCTTAAGGAGCTATCAGAGGTGAACTTAGAAAGTGAATCTGCCTGTTCATTCTCAGTTCGGGAAATTTTGTTAATTTTTGGAATTTGCACTTCAGCTTGGCCACCAAGGCTACATACTTCATCATCACAGGATCAACAACCTCACAGACTAAGTTGACTTGATTAACCACAAGCTGTGAGTCACTGTAAACTCTTATGGCCATGACTTTCAGCTCTAATGCTAGTTGTAGACCAAGTAGCAGAGCTTCATACTTGGCCATGTTGTTTGTTGCATCGAAGTTAAATTTCAAAGCATGCTCACTTCGATATCCATCTAGACCCACTAGGAGAGCACTAGCTCTTGAGCCCTTGTTATTAGATATTCCATCAACATATAAGGTCCATTTACTCGACTCAGGATTAGAGCTTGGTTGACATGGGGTGCATTCTATGATAAAATTTGCCAATGCTTGAGCTCGAATTGTAGACCTCTGCTGAAATGCTATCTCGAATTCCCTCAATTCTACTGCCCATTTAATTAACCTTCCCGAGCACTCCGGCTTCTGAAGGATCTGTCGAAGAGGTTGGTCTGTGAGGACTATAATTGGATGTGACTGGAAATATGGCCTTAATTTTCTGGCCGAAGTAATAACTGCCAACACTGCTGGTATAATAAATTGGTTTCTGCTGTTTGCCTTCTTCTCTCACTAGCACCGAACTGATTGCTTCATCAGAAATATTAAGGTACAAATAGAGGATTTCTTCATCAATAACCTTTGTTAGCAAAGAGGGTGAGCTAAGATAAGACTTCAGCTCATCAAATACAACTTGGCATTCTGGGTTCCATTCAAACTTCTTCTGTTTGCTAGATTCATCTTTCTGTGTTGTTGATCTCATGATCTTGAAGAATGGCAAGCACTTATCTGCTGATTTCGATATGAATATATGAAGAGCTGCCACCCTTCCCATTAATCTCTGTATGTCCTTCACCGACTTCGGTAGTTCCATCACGGCTATTGCTTTGATTTTTTTTGGGTTAACTCCAATCCTCCTCTAGGAAACCATGAAGCCCAGAAATTTCCCAGATTCCACACCGAAGATGCATTTTGCTGGGTTTAACCGCATTTTGTTATTTCTAAGATTGTTGAATGTTTCATTGAGATCAGCTAGATGATCTTTTGCTTTCAGGCTCTTTACCACAATGTCATCGACATAAACCTCTAGATTCTTGCCGATTTGAGCTCGGAAGATGATTGTTACCATTTTCTGATAAGTGGCACCTGTGTTCTTTAAGCCAAAGGGCATCATGACATAGCAGTAAATTTCATCACCTGCATAGAACGAGGTTTTCTCTTCATCCTCCAGAGCCATCGGCACTTGGTGGTAACCAGAATATGCATCCAAGAGACTTAATCTCTCATTTCCCGAAGTCGCTTCAACCAATTTGTCAATGCTTGGCATGGGATAATAGTCTTTGGGACAAGCTTGATTGAGATTTGTGTAATCAATGCACATTCACCATTTACCATTTGCCTTCTTCACCAACACCGGGTTAGCCACTCATTCACAGTAGTCAACTCTTCTGACAAAACCAACTTGCAGGAGTTTTTCTACTTCTTTTATAACCTGAAGCCTCTTCCCCTTGAAGAGACGTCGCTTCTGGGCTACTAGTTTCTTCAATGGATTGGTGCTGAGTTTGTGCTAAGATACCGAGATTGGAATCCCTGGCATGTTTGCTGAGGTCCAAGCGAAGACATCTTTGTTAGCCTGGAGGAAAGCTATTAGCTCTGCTCTTTCCTTTGGGTTCAACTGAGTTCCAATTTGTGTCTTCCTGTTTTGATCTCTGCCATCAATTTGCACTTCCTCTACATCCTCAACTAGGGTAGCTCTAGTTTCATCCTCTGATCGGTTGTCTACTATCTCAACTCCCATCACCTGCTTATTATCATGAACTTGCTGGGGAATGGTTTCTAGTGTCTGATCTTTGCCTTTCTGAGGCCTTGTAACCGAGGTAATATAGCAATGTCTAGCCACCTCATGGTTACCTCGTAGTGTTGTTATCCCCATAGGGATTGGAAACTTCATACAGAGGTGAGATTGAGAGCCTATAGCTCAGATCTTGGTTAACGTGGGTAGTCCGATAATAGCATTGAAAGAAGATGCCATTTGGACAACTAAAAACCGAACTGAAGGGGTAACATAAGTTCGGCCGCTCCTAAAAGCAACATTAAGGGTAAGGACTCCTTTTACCTGAATAGGTTAGTTGTTGAATCCGTATATGGGGCCATCATACTTCTGCAACAGAGCTGGATCTAGTCCGAGACTCTCAAAATAGTGAAAGTACATAATGTCTGGTGCACTCCCTATGTCAACAAGGACACGTTGTACCTCACAGTTGTTAATCATAACAGAAGTGACCAAAAGATCATTATGAGGTGTGACAACTGTATCAAAGTCAGCCGATGTGAAAGTGATGGGTTGGTTCTTCCAATCAACGTTGTCAAACTTTCATTTCTGAGCTTTGTTTTGATGCTTCACCTCCTTGACATATAATTTTCATTGTTTGGAGCTCAAACCCCCTGCTTCCAAGCCTCCCATAATCATATGTATAATTTTGGCTGGTGGTGGGAGTGGAGGTGGGGCTTGTTGATATCCCACGCCTTGCCTATTGCTTGTATTACAAGATCCCTGTGGTTGTTGCCCCTGTTCTCTAATAAACTTCGGCTGCTCTGTTCTCTAGATGTATTCATTTAGCATTCCCTTTTGAGCTGGACTTTCCAACTTGGACCTCAGATTATTACACTGCTTCGTTGTATGATCGTGATCTTGATGAAAATCACAGTATCTAGTATGATCACGTGTAGCAGCAGAACTTCTCATCAGCCTTGGTCACCTTAAATCCATCTTATTCTTGATTTGCATGAATATTTGTGACCTCGGCAGATTGAAAGGAGTTCATGTAACTGGTGCTTTATTGGTGATTTGTTGGGGGGTACTAAGTTTGGCTTTCCGAATCTCGATGTGGAGGTTGACATCGGGCCCCATCTTTGTACTGTCTTCATCTGCTTTCTGCTTTGACCCTCATCTCTCCAATCTGGGTTTTGATTCTTAGAAAAAATTGGTTTTTGTGATACAGCATATTCCTCAGCAGTTATGAATTTCAAAGATCTGTCATTAATTTCATTAAAAGTAGCAATAGGATGCTTGATTAAGCTATCTCTGAATCTTTCGTGTTAGAGACCTTGAATTACAGCCACAATTCCCACAGCTTGGTTGAATGAGTTGACTTCGAGGATTGCATCATTGAACCGGCTCATGTAATTCTTCAAAGATTCTCCTTCCCTTTGTTTGACTCGCATCAGTTCAGAAGTGGTTTTTCTAATCAACCTTCTACTGGAAAATTTTGTAGCAAAAGCAGATACCATTTCTGTATAGGAGTTGATAGATCTCCGGGGCAAACTATGATACCAGGTTCGAGCATTACCACGGAGAGTGGAGGGAAAGATTTTGCACATCAATGCATCAGAAGCATTTTGAGCTTGCATACAGGAGTAGAAGGCATGGAGGTGATCATCTGCATCCTTCGTCCCATCATATGTCTCGAGCTGAGGTATTTTGAAACCAGTGGGACAAGGTTCCAATGTAATGTTAGTGTTAGAGGGTGAGGTATGGAATCAGTGTTATGTTGTGGAGGTGGGGCACCTCGCTGTTTGGCTACTAGTTTTTCTAAGCTGTCGAGACGTCATGTGACATCATCAGGTAAAGGTTGCTGAGCTGGGGCTACGTGAGACTGACCCTGAGACTCACTAAGAGCAGGAGCATGTTGAACTGGTTTAGGGTCTTGCTGTTGAACGGGGGGTTGTTGAGTAGGGTTGAATAGGTTGATGAAGGGATCACCAGGATTAGTACGAGCTAGGAGTTGAGCCAAAACTAACTAAAAGACACCGAATTGCTGTTGCATGGCAACAAGCTGAGCTGTGACTACATCTCCTTGATTGGGGGTGGAAGCTGAGTTGTGAAGTTGGTTTTCATCTTTTCCTTCTGCATGTTCAACATGAGGGAATAGATTTGGGATCTAAGGTGGCTGAGGTGGAAGGTTGTTGGGGTATGGACCTTAACCTTGTCCAAGAGGTTGAGTTTGATTTCCAGTTCGGACTGATCGAGTGTTGACCATGATGAGAAAGCAACAAGAGAGCTTTTAGTTCGATTTCCCACAGACGGCGCCAATATAATTGCACAAAACCAGAAGTCCTTCTTCAGTCCACGTCTCCATTCTGAGTGAACATGCAAAGCCCCGAGGTGGGTCCTCAAGGTAGACACTCCGATGCTTAAGTCAGCAATAATTGGATCTACCTCTAGAATAATGGAAAAAGGAGCTTTAGGTCAGTTTCAATTACATTTTTGAGGTGGCCCCTGGGGAGTATTTATAAGCCCTAGCAAGGTGTGAACGTGGCTTGCTTAACAAGATAATCGGAGAGTGACGTGTCCCTTCAGGCGATTATTTCGGGACCAAGAAATTATGTAAATTAGGTGTGGGCATGTTCACTGTATTTATCATGTAGCCATTTAACTGGGAAGTGCTGGATTTAACTTCATTTCGGTTATTAAAGAACTGTAACAGTACGTCTGAGGTTAAGGATCTCGGACCTATCCTTACAACAATCCTCCCATTACTACCAAAAAAAGGTATTGGCATTTAAATGTTTTTCTAAGGGCGACTAAAAGAGCTAAGCTCATGGAATTTATTTTCGAAGAAGTTTTTGAGACAAAATATATTTTAAAATGATTGAGTTTTAATAAAGGAAAGATCATCAAAGCAATTTTTTTTCTAAAGTAATATATTAATATGTAATAAGATAAATTTTTAAATTTTAAATTAGATTTTAATTAAATGAAATGATATCTTTTAGGATAGTGATTGGTATACACTTGATTGAATACATTACACAACACATTAATTAAAAAATTACTATTTCTTGGTTTGAAATTAAAGGTAGATAAGTTGAAATATACAATTATACACATAGTATGCAAGAATCAGTTAAATCGACTATATTTATATTATATTTTTAATAATTGAACCAAAAATATGTCAAAAAATATATTAAACCGACTATATACCAATCATTTTTCTATCTTTTAAGATGAGGACTTCATTTTTTTTTTTTTTTTTGAAGTCAAAACTAATATGTAGTCTCATATATACACACATATAAATATATAGAGAGAGGGGATGAAAATAAGTGAACTAATAAAGAGTTTTTCTAGAATACAGGTTAAGAGTGCCTATTTCTTATAAATGCACAGAGAAAAATATAAAAATCAATATAAATTCTAGTGTTAGTATTAAATAAATGAATTTAATTAAATAGTTAATAAATTAAAAGTCAACTTTTATATTTTCAATGCAAATTTATGACCAAAAGGATGTATTTATTACCCCTTAATGCACAAATTAAAAAAATCTAAAAATAAATATAATAATAAAGTATATGAGTGTAAGCTAAAAGATGATGTTGTGAGAAAAATTAATAAAATGTGAAGTATAGGTAGATAATAAGGTCCTAAGAAAATAATGTTGATAAGTTATGTTTTTTAGTTTTAACTTAAATCCTTTTAATATGAGCATTTAGGGGTGAGATTCGGTTGATTTTGGTTTGAATTGAGACCGATTAGGCAATTAACCAAAATATCGGTTAGGCAGTATGCACTACTGAATACGAACCGAAAAATATCAATTTTACTATTTCAGGTATTTTTTAGTTTCGGCTTTTTTCAAACGGTTTCAGTATTGTCCGAAACATTGAGTTTCCTTCTTTTCTTAGTATCTACTTTTTAGCCTTTCAATCGTCAACAGATGCTTAAATTTTGTTCCTGGAGAGTTTTAATGGCACACCAAGAAAAAGAAAAGCTTGGAGGTGCAACAAGACAATGACAAAAATAAAAGAAAATTGAAAGAAATTGAAAGAGAAGTAAGAATTAGATCCAATCTCAATACCCAACACCAGTACTATTGTCATCCCCTTGAAATTGGACTTGGGAGCAGCAAATCATAGGAAATTAAAAAAAAAAAAAAATGGAAGAGAAAGGAGATTAGTTGTAGTGTCAACAAGAAGAAAGGAGAAGCAACAGAGATGGTGAAATGAGATGGGACAAGAGAAAAGAGAAGGAAAATAAAAAAACCCTAAATTATTAAATAGATTCAAAGATTTAGATTCAACCAAATGAATCTAATTTTTTTTAGATGTCAGGATAAGATTTGAATCACATATTTCTAAAATATAATCAAATGAAGCTAATTTAATGATTAAAATAAAATAAACAAAAATAATAATTATATAAAATAATAAGTTTAAGTTTTTTTTTAACAAAGATAATTATTTATGACTACAAAAGAGTGAAGAAAAAGAAAGTTAAGAATTGAAAATCAAATTTCTCTACAATATTTCCACTTAGAGACAAAATAAAACCATTCTATCTACCGCGTAAAGAACAATAAGTTTAAGTTTAAAGCATGGACCCATAATACTTTGAATTAGATTTAGAAAAGTCAAAAAGCAAAAAAATCAAGAAATGCCAAATCCCATTTGGCGGGATTTTTGGCACAAAATGACAAAAACTGTCAAAAAGCATGGTGAAATAAAATAAAATAATTGATTTTTTCTGGTGGACTGGGCCTACTTATGCGGTTAACGGTTTCTTGGGCCTAAAACCGTCCACCACCAGACTGGGCTTCGGATAGCAACCGAACTCATGGCCTAACCCACCGAAATCCGTTTCACAATGCACCGTCTGTTCCGGTTACCAGCGGTTCCAGATATACCGTCGATTTTGCTGGAAAAGTCCCACCCCTATGAGCATGAGAGAAAGAGAGAGAGAGAGAGGACAAATTAGGAGTAAAAAAAGAATATCTAATTGTTAACACTATAAAATAGATTAGATGGTGTGGAACTGAGATGTTTATTAATAGAGAGAGTTTACAATGAAGAGAGAATGGAGATGGAAAAATAATCTACCTCTTTAAGTTGATTTTTGAAGTATTTATAAGATGTTTAAATACAGTTATTCTAGGAATACAATTTTATTTAATTGGTGTTTGGGGTATTCTTATTCTAGTGGGATTAATCCTATTTAACTTTGATAGGATTATCTCTAGAATGTCTCTACATGTCCTGATTCTCATGGGACTTGATTTAAGGTATAACATTTGCTCCCCAACGAAGAAGTTTGAGGGTAGTGAAAACTTCAACGGGTGTTGTCTTTCGTATTGCTCTGCTGATCTTGGTTTTAAATTTTACGCAGGTTCCCGCTTTTTCAACCGTGACTGCCTCGTTAAAAACTTTAACTAGAAAAAACCCTGTGGGATAAAAAATCTAACTTAAGGAAAAAAGAGTGTAGCACAGGTTTTTTCTTCATGATTCCTGGCGTAGTTTCCTCATTAAAAAATTTTTGTTGAAATTGTTCTACAGATTTGTGCTGATTTGTTCATGTCCTTTCTTGATTTTTTCATATCTCCACAACTGCATTTCTCGGATTTTCTACTTCTTAGCAGCTTTTTTTTATTTTTTATGCTCGCGGCCCCCATTGTATGGTTTAGTTGGTACGGCAGGTCCTCCCAAGTTCAAACCCCTATTTCCTCGGGAATTTATGCAATTTTTCCTTTTGGCTTTTCTTTAGTTTTGAAATGGGGCTTCCTGGGATTTCCCGATTCTTCTTTTTCGTTTTTTGTTTGACTACTTTTTTTATTTCTTTTTGTTTTCTTTCTTTATTTTTTCTTTTGCTCTTTCTTTTTGCTTTTTCGGTTTCCTCTTTCTGGGCAAAATGCACCCGTTTGCCCTTTAACTTTTTAAATTTGAGGCGTTTTACCCCTCATATTACAATATATGAATTTTTACCTTTTTTAGTTTCGAGTTTAAGGAAATAAGGTAAAATTTAACGTCAAAAGGTCACGTGCAACACGTGCATCGTTACCTTCGTCATACATTTACATGTCAGCACTAACTTGGATTTTTTTGACATGTTGGTAAGTCCAGCTTGGATCCACCCCAACAATT